AAGATCAGCCTCAGACATTTTTGCCAGATGTTGGGAAAAATCTCTCTGCATATTGTTGGGTCAAGCGAAATTGGCTACCATCAGATCTCTCTCAACTGGGCCTTCTCAGTCATCTTAGAAAAATAAATGATACTATCACGTAGTGAGGTACCTTGAAAAGTAAATCTGTGTATGTGTTTCAGAGGGGTGGAAGACGACAGGTGTGAAAAGGATTTGCACAGTCCACACATTCCCATTCCTAAATCCATTTCCAGTTACGCATGCACGTCACATTTAACCTCTAAGTGAAAACAAGCCAGAAATAGGAAGATTGTTTAATGGTTGTTTCTTGAGAAAGATAGCTTTTGAAGGACAACATGCACCAGAATAGATCATTTAGGTGAGAATTAAGAGTCAGGTTAAAAGACATGGTGGAATTTTGAAGTCAGAGAGGATGTGAGAGAAAACACTCATTTCATTTGCTTTGCAAGGTAATTACACCACTATGAGTGTGAAACAAAACAAACATGGCAGGAGAAGTAGCTTCGAGAGCACAGCATCATTTAAAAGAACTTCTCTCTAAAGTGAGTTAGAGCTAATCAACAATATGCAAGCATTTTCACTGATTTACAGGACTGTGTACAACGATATTACTGAATGGCATGGAGAGATGAAATTGAGGTCCAGGAGTGTTTTTCATAAATGCATTTACATCTCCTAGCTAGCCAACAACAGAGAAAATACTTTGGGGAATACTGACCAGAATAAGTCATCTACCCTCCCATGTGGAAGTTGAGGAGACACCTATAGAGTTAAGTTCCTTCCTAGTAGCTGGTACAGTGCTGTGTTTTGGATTTAGGATGAGAACAAAGTTGATAAAACACCAATGTTTTAGTTGTTGCTAGGTAATGCTTACACTAGCCAAGGACTTTTCAGCTTCCCATGCTCTACCGACTGAGAAGGCTGCAGGTGCACAAGAAGCTGGGAGGGGGCACAGCCAAACTGGCCAAAGGGACATTCCATACCGTGTGATGTCATGCTCAGTACATAAACTGGGGAAAGCTGGCCAGGGGGTGCCGCTGCTCGGGGACTGGCTGGGCATAGGTCGGTGGGTGGTGAGCAATTGCACTGTGCATCGCTTGCTTTGTGTATTATTATTTTATTTCATTTATTAAGCTGTTTTTATCTCAACCCATGAGTTTTTCTCACTTGTGCTTTTCCAATTCTCTCCCCCATCCCACCGGGGCCGGGGAGAGTGAGTGAGCAGCTGCGTGGTGCTCAGTTGCCGACTGAG